GGTGTAGTGTCTATGGTCCCGGTGTAGTGTCTATGGTCCCGGTGTAGTGTCTATGGTCCAGGTGTAGTGTCTATGGTCCCGGTGTGGTGTCTATGGTCCAGGTGTCGTGTCTATGGTCCCGGTGTAGTGTCTATGGTCCAGGTGTAGTGTCTATGGTCCCGGTGTAGTGTCTATGGTCCAGGTGTAGTGTCTATGGTCCAGGTGTAGTGTCTATGGGAACAAAAACTTGTTAAAGTTCAACACTCAGCATTTTTTCATGTTACACATTCGTCAAGTTTTGATGGAAATAATTACAAATACAAACAGGAAGAGTAGAGCGAGTAAAGAAGCAGCAGCGTGAGGACATATGGTCAGTTTGTCCTTCAGTCTAAGCCTATAGCAGTCGAGCTAAGGGATAGCTCAGGAAACCCAAGCCAACCCTAACTAAGATTTATCAAAAAGGAAAGTCTTCAGTCTAATTTTCAAATCAGCTTCACAGACAGAAACTGGAAGTTGGAGCCTGAGAACTGAAAGCTCCGTCTCCCGTTCTACTTTTAGAAACTCTAGGAACCACAAGTAAACCTTCAGGCTGAGTGAAGTGCTCCGCTGGGAAAATATGGAGCAGTAAGATCTGTAATATAAAATGGGACTTACCAATGCTGCACGTCATCATTTCTGGACATGTTTGGACGATTAAAGACGAGCAGTAAAAACGTCGCAGGCCGTGTTTGATTCTTTGAGCTGTGACGAAAAGATTTTTATTAATGAAGCTCGTCTTTCTCTGCTCTGCCCCACAGCCCCTGGACAGTGAGAAGGACTCGGCTCTGGTGCTGCTGTGCTTCGGTTTGTGTGTGCTGGGAAGGAGGGCCCTGGGGACAGCAGCCCATCACATGTCCAGGTAGTCCAGTCCTTGCTGTCCTCAGAGTGTGGTCTCGTGTGTTGCTCAAACTACAGAGTCTGATTTACATCTTTAATGTTTGTGGATTAAAAATGAGCTTGTTTGTAGCGAACGTCCTGCAGAGCTCACTGATTTCTGTTTCCATCCCAGCAACCTGGAGTCTTTCCTTTACGGGCTCCATGCGTTATTTAAAGGAGATTTCCGCATCTCGTCAGTGCGAGATGAGTGGGTCTTTGCAGACATGGAGCTGCTCAGGAAGGTTGTGGTGCCTGGAATCCGAATGTCTCTTAAGCTGCACCAGGTGGGACGTTGCAGGTGGTCTTTGCCTTCAGGCTTGTTCTGTGGATAAACTGACGGTTGTGTTTACTTGTCAGGACCACTTCACGTCCCCCGACGAGTACGACGAACCAGCTGTTCTGTACGAGGCCATCTCCTCGCACCAGCAGAACCTGGTCATCGCTCACGAGGGCGACCCAGCCTGGAGGAGCGCCGTGCTGTCCAGTGCCCCGTCGCTCCTCGCCCTTCGTCACGTCCTGGACGAAGGCACGAACGAGTACAAAATCATCATGCTCAATCGACGATACCTCAGCTTCCGCGTCATCAAGGTAAAACTGCAACAGATCGAGGTGGACCAGGAAACCTCGGAGAATGACTCTTGTTACAGGTTTTAATGCTGCCAGGTTCAGTTTGTCTTGTTGGACTCGAGGAGTGGAATTCATCCTCTGGGTGCATTTTATTATTTCCTCCTCCACCTCAGAGCCAGCTGTGATTGAAGCCTGCTGCTGACTCAGCATCCTAACAGTAGAACCTAACCACCTGTGCTGCAGGTAAATAAAGAATGTGTGCGGGGCCTTTGGGCGGGCCAGCAGCAGGAGCTGGTGTTTCTGAGGAACAGAAACCCGGAGCGCGGGAGCATCCAGAACGCCAAGCAGGCTCTGCGCAACATGATCAATTCTTCCTGCGACCAGCCCATCGGGTATCCGATCTACGTGTCTCCGCTGACCACCTCCTACTGCAACTCGCACCCGCAGCTTCGACACATCCTGGGAGGAGCCATCAGCATCGCAAACATCCACAGCTTTGTTGTCAGCACCTGGCACAGGTCCGGACCTCGGCAGGTAGAATGGCTGTTCCTACAGCGGGGTCAGGTTCTGAACACTCGTTGTCTTGCAGGTTAAGGAAGGGCTGCGGCGCCGGCTGCAACAGCGGAGGAAACATGGAGGACTCTGATGCCGGCGGTTTGTCCTGCGGCAGTGGGAACGGGACGGGCGGAGACTCTCATCAGAGCTCGGGCTCCCACAGTGGAAACTCTGGACCAGCTCTGCCCCACATGTACCAACCACATTCTCTGGGTGAGAACCATCTCCTGTGGTCCAGTTCAGAACCTCCAGCACGTCTGACATCAAAATGAGCAGGAAGTGAGTGAGTCAGTGAGTGAGTGAGTCAATGAGTCAGTGAGTGAGTGAGTCAATGAGTCAGTGAATGAGTGACTCAGTGAGTCAGTG